ATGAGTTGTGTACAGGGAGTTTAATATTATATAGACAAAAAAAATGCACTGGAACCAAGTGATTCATCATAGTCATTTTCTGTTTCATCTTTGTCCTTATCCTCTTCATCTTCCTTTTTTTTCTTTTTCGTCTTGACAGCTTCCTTTCTCTCCATCAGGTTTTCCTTTATTCGGGAGACAATGATGTCTTTCCCACACTATTCCTTAGTGTGGCAGCCTTCCCCTCATAAGGCTGCTTGTCATCTGATGCAGTGTCCTTGCACATTTCTCCCAGTTTCTTTGTGAAGTCACCAATGGCAAGGCCAGGATTCTCCTCTGAGCTTTGGAGGATACTCAGAACAGAACAAGAAGGCGGCCAGAGGGGCCCCAGGCTCACTGGGATCCTTGAACTTTGGTTTTTCTTTAGGAGGAATGTAAGTTTTCATTTCTCTTTTCATAATGGCTTCTCCATCTTTGCCGTGTCTTCAAATTTTCCTTTCTCTTTAGCAGACATGATCTTCCATTTTTATGAGCGCTTCTTAGAAAAGCCTGAGAAGTTAATGGAAGCATCTGAGTGTACAAAGAATGCGTATGATGACATTTGCCCCCCAGCTTCTTAGGCCCTCCTTTGCCGTGCCCATCTGGCTCTCACTTGCCCCCGCACTGTCTCTGTGCAGCTCCATGTACTGACTTTTTAAAATTGTTATTTCAAGTATTTGTTGACATCCTGAACGCTTCTAAGTAAAAACATTTTTAAAATTAAAACAAGCTGTTATATAGAAAAGCCAAAAATCACTTGTAAACATAAAGCAAAGCAAAGACCCAAACCAGTGTAATTAGAAATGAAAAAGGCAAAATCACAATACACTCTGCCAAAATCCAGAAAATTATTAATAATTACTCTGAGAACTTGTAGTAAAATGGAGAATTTAGAAGAAATAGATATATTTACAAAAAATAAATATATTTCTAGATATATATATGAAATACCACAGCTGAATCAAGAAGCTATAAAAATTCTGAATAATCCAATATCACTCAATGAGATTATAAGAAGTAATAAAAAAAACAGCTAAGAAAAACTTAGATTCTGATGGATTTATTGTTGAATTCTGTAAGAATTTTAGAAAAGATCTAATGCTAATACTCCTCAAAACTTTTAAGGAAATCAAAAATGAAAAAGTACTTCCAAAGTCATTTCTGAAATCACATTAAATCCTCAGAGAAAATCACAGATTAAACATCAAAGGTTGCAAACAATATTACATGCAACAGGGGGACCTGAAATAGAACTTCAATTGCCCAAGAAATAATACCAAGTATCAACAAATGGTTTCATATCAAAGTTCACAGAAAGAAAACTAATTATCTAAAATATGTAAAGAACTTTAAAAAATTAGACCCCACCCAAAATACATTAAAAAATAGATACCTAAAATGAACAGCTACTTCTCAGAAGAAAAATACAAATGGCCAATAAATTCATGAAAAAGTGTTCAACAGTTCTGGCTGTTAAAGAAATGTAAATTGGAAAAACACTGAAATTTTATCTTACAGAAAGAATGACCATGATTAAGAAATCAAGTAATAACAAATGCTATCTAGGCTGTGGGGGAAAAAGGAACCCTTCTACACTGTTGTTGGGAATATAAACAGAAGTGTTGTAGTCAAGGTTTGCAAGGGAATAGATTTAATACAGGACACACAATTTATAGGATTCTTTTATAATATTTACACAAAAGTCAAATGCAGAAGAGGACAGGAGATCTGTCCATGCACTCGCAACCCACTGAATTCAGCGGAGACCTGGATCCCATGGTAATGTGCTCCAGCACTCCAGTTGGAGGCCCAGAGTCCACAACCAAGTGTCATGTAAGCCGGTATCAAAGATCTGCACTGAGAAGGACCAAAGGTCAGTGGCGGACGCTAGAAAGTCTGTTTCAGCAGGATGAAGGATCTGTGCCAATAGGCAGAGGAATCTGCACTGGAGCCAGGAAGTGATGCTCAAGGTAAGAATCAGAGCTCTCTGGAAGGAAACCATAAGGAGAGCCTGAGCTCTTCTGAAGATGAGAACACCGAAGTCATATCAGGAAAATCAGTGAGACAAGCTTCTCCAGCAACATCGTACCACCTTCCCCTCCTTTTAGGCTATTGGTAACAGCCTCACGTGGGCCTTCCACACCCAACACCACAGTACTCAGTTCAGTTGAGTGTTAGAAGTTGACTATTAATCAAACCACCACAACAATCATTACAGAAATCTGTATGGAGATCCCTTAAAAAACAAAAACAAGAAATTTCATTTGACCCTACTATCCCCATTGTAGGTATCCTCCAAAAGCATTAAAAGACATGATATTCCAGTGATACACACATACACACCCATGTATATAGAAGCACAATTCTCAATAGCGAAAGCTTGGAAGTAGCCCTTGGGTAGATCAACAGATGAATGGATAAAGAAAATGTGACACTCATACACAATGGAATTATACTCTGACCTAAAGAGGATAAATCTGAGTCATTTGTAGGAAAATTGATATAACTTGATACTACACTATGAAGTGAAATAAATCAGACACACAAGCTTAACTATCACACAGTTTTTCTTTTATAAGAAACCTAAAGATAGAAAGAAAGAGCAGACTAAAAGGTAGATAATAGGAAACGGTGAAGCAGATCTTTTTCAAATGTAGAGGGGACCAAAATATGGAGGAGTGGGGGAAAGGAGGAGAGGAAGGGATAGCATAACCAAGGTGTGTCATGTGACAGCTCCCCAGGAGGGACGTGATTATTATGTACTATATTATAAACGCATCGACAAAATTTCTTAAATGACTGCTTATTAGGTCACAAAAAAGTACAAGTTTCAAACATATTTACCCATAAAACATTTAAATTAATAAACAGTAATTTAAAAATAGTTAAAAATTGCAGCAACCTTTAACTAGAAACTAAAAAGCAGTAAAAGCCTGGCATGGTGGTGCAGACCTCTAACCACAGCCTTCAGGAGACTGAGGAAGGAGGATCACCTGGAGTTCAAGGCCAACTGGGCCACATAATGAGTTTAAAACCAGCCTGAACTACATAAGACTCTGTCTCAAAAAACAAAGCACTAAAAGTAGCAAAAGTATCACATTAAAGATTTTGTAATAGAAAAAGCAGAACCACACAGTTAAGTAGGCTCTGTCACACAGCTTGGTAAGAAACTCAGCAAGAAAGGGAACCATGCCTTCCCACAAGCCACCGCCACCGGGGGCTCAGGCTGGGAAACCAAAAGAGCACCCCTGTCCCCTGTAAGCAACGCGCTGATTAGGAGGACTCAGAGTGAGAGGACAGCAGGGTGAGATGAAAGGAACAGCTCGATGCTTGTACTATCTGGTTAACCTTGCAGATCGAGGGCTGGTGGTCTGGGCAGCTACTTAGAGGACGGCAGTGTACATTGTGGTAACTGTGGGGGGATTCCTCGTGTCTCGTTTTTGAAGCCCAGTGTTTTGTTCCATTTTACTGTTTTGTTTTATCCCTGTGTCAGGTGGCCTAAGCAACTACTTTGAAGATAGCAGTGTGCAGTACCACACCATTGTTAAATTCCTATCATCTTGTTTTGAAAACTATATATAGCTGGGGGTCTTTTTTGTTTTTGTTGTTTTTCAGGTTTGTTTGCTTTTTGATTTATGTTTTTTCTTTTTTCTCTCTAAAATAAAACAGAAAATGATTTTGTGATACAGAGCAAAGTAGTACATACAGCTTTTTTTGGGGGGGGTACTGGGGATTGAACTCATGACTTCATGCTTGCCAGGCAGGTACTTACACTACTGAGCTAAATCCCCGGCCCCATAAAGCCTTTAAAGCATATAATCTTCAATATAATTGTTCTTTAAAAAACAGACAATTGAAAATAGCCTAAGCCTTCACATCACTTAGTGCAAGAATTAGAGTAACAAGGGGAAGTAACAAAAGAAACGAATTCATATAATTAATGAACTATATTCTAAAATGTAGACTATATAAGTCTCTAGAAAGAAACAGGAAAGAATCACAAAACAAAAGCCAAATAATTTTTTTTTTTTATGGTACTGGGAATCAAACTCAGGACCTTGCACTTGCCAAGTAGGCACTGTGCCCCTTAGCTGTATCCACAGCCCTAGTAATTTTTTTAAAATACAGCAGATAAACTTCCTGACAAGACTAATAATAAGGGTATAAAAAGGGAACAATATTAAAAATAAAAATATGTAACATAAATATAGCTATAGCATGACTTTTTCAAAACCCTAAGGGAAATCGCACAAATAAGTTTATTCCAAAAACAATAGAAAACTTAAATAGTTGAAAGATTTCATGAAAAAAAATAGCTAAAAGTGATTCAAGAAGAAACACAAAACCCTAAAAAAATACCTCCTTCCAAAGAAGTTAAATCCACATGGTTAAGAAGGAGTTTTATCACTTTCAACTCTTGCTCTGAAACCACTATAATCTTTTGATTTTCAACCCACTGACATCCAACTACCTTGTGCATTCTTTTAACTGCTCAAATAATTAGGTAGGTGACCAGTAAAAGGTAACTATCATTATACTCCAATAGACATCATGATGAGGAATCAGAAGCATAACTGGGGTGCTGTCAAGACAAGAATATCTGCTGGCCACCATTTGTATTCGAGATTATATTAGGGGTCACGGTGAGGATAGTGAAATACGATGCAGCTATTAAAAAGAACAGGGAACAAACATAAAGGTTTGGAGTGGAGGCATATGGGGACTGAGGCAGAGGACCAGTGTTCCGTTTTCCCCCTTCCCTACCGCATCTTTTCCTACCTCTCCAGTATAGCAAATTACCTTCAAATGCCTCGGCAACCATCACTGCCTCCCCAAGACTGTACTTTATTCTACTTTCACTTTGCACCTCTTGCATACTTTGCAAGCCACAATGATGGCAATTATTTGCATATCTATGTGTACCTAACCCATGGCCAGCACAGAATAGGCGTGCAAGCCAACGCTGCCACTTGCAAAGCACTCTTCTCCCAGGGCTCCAACACCCCACCCCGGCAGGACTCCTGCATTTAACCGGTTCGTTCTTGAAGAAGGATGCGGGACTGGAGCCAAGCGCGGGCGTGGCCGGCGGCGGCTGCTGGATCTGCCCCTCCCGGTCCGCGTCTCCCCGCGAGGGCGCCTCTCGCCGCACCCACTTCCTCTTTCCTCTAGCTCGGGGCGGCGCGCGGCCCCTCTCGGCGTTCGGTGGTGCGGTTGCTGTGGCGGAGCCCGAGGCCGGGGTGCAGGCCGCCGGCCCCACCTCCCCGAGCTCGCCCCCCGACCCCGCCGCGGTCCCGAGCCTCTGCGCCCCGGCTTGCTCGCGCCGGCCATGGAGGTGGAGGAGGCCTTCCAGGCGGTGGGCGAGATGGGCATCTACCAGATGTACTTGTGCTTCCTGTTGGCCGTGCTGCTGCAGGTGAGTTCCCCTGCGCTGCCTGGCGGAGGCCTCGGCTCCGTGCCCCGAGGTGGGGCGGGCGCCGGGAAGGGCAGGGCGCAGCGCGGTGCCACGCACAGGCCTGAGCCCCGAGCCCCGTAGCGCCAGCGTCTCCAGCAGCTTCTAATGGGCCTGCTGTCCTGGCACCTGGAGTGATGAAAAAGTTGTGCGTGGGTGGTGCTGCTGGGGGGTGTGCGGACCTAGGAGCTCGTTATTTAATAAGGGATGCACAATTGCATTACCTGGGATTGCAGAAAAGCGAAAGGAAGCTGTTACCCTAACCTGTGGCATTGTCACCTTGGAATGTAGGACACAGCCCTGAAAACCTGCACACAAAAGGTAACGTTTAGAGAGCATCCTCCTTAGAGCTCCTGCTAACTTTTCCTGAGTTTGAGGGAGCTTTCTGTTCTAGTCTTTCAGTACAAAGGTTTTATTTCTGAATTGTGGTAGGTCATTTAGCCGTCAGGCCAGCTTTGAGACTTCTGTAAGTTAGTAATGCCATTCCCAGTGTGTGGTTAACCTTGTGGAATCTCTTATTTGGATAAAATTCCCAGATCCTACCAGCAGCACAGTTTAAACTTATGGGTTCCATGCACTAAAGATCACTACATATTAACTTTGCTGGGCAGGAGTTACTCCTCTGCTGATCGAAAGAGCCCATTTGACATCAGTGGCTTCTTTCATTATTTTAAAGGCATTCTTTTCAAAGTCCTTTACATAATATATGAGCTCCCCCCCCCCCAATTCTTTAATATATTCCTTGGATGGTTGTGTGGCATATCCTTAGGGCAGAGTTGCAATAGTGAACAATCCCAATTCCCTTCCTCAGTGTATTTTAGTGGCAGTGGGGCAGGCTGGGCTGACACTTAAAAAGTTAGTTAACATGTGCTGATGGTTGGTTAGTGGGAAGTACAGGGTAGTTTTGGGTTCTTACATTGTCTAACCCTTGCATAAGGCATTGGCTCAACAGGAAGACTGTGGTGTGTGGGTGGGGAGGAAAAGGTTAACATAGATTTCCCTTTTTCCACTAAAATATTTAAAAGTTTAATTGGTTTCTTATGATGGACTGATAGAGGAGACAGGTTTTCTCTTAACAGAGCAACTTTTCAGCTCATAAAGAAAGCAGTATTCTGAGGTTCTTTTAGGCTGTTTTAGGTTAAATGCACTTTCTCTGTGGAGGAAAAAGGTTTATGCTAAACCATAAGAATATTTAATACAAAGACAACAGAATTGCAGTTATGATGTCTGATCTTCATTTATAATGGTTTCTTGTTCTCAAACCAAGAATTCCAGGAACTTGGAAGGAGCCTCCTGATTTAGCCCACCACCTCACTCTGCCTACCTTTTCCTTGCTGTCGTATGTTTTGACTTGCCTAACGAGATGTCTACTAAAGGAATAAGTCTGTCTTCAGTGGAGTGGAGTGTTGACAAGGCCGATATTCTGGGGCAGGACCTGTTAGATTTCCTTACTCATTTTTGTTTACTTATTTTTTATACTTTTTTATTTTAAAGGGAGTAAAACAAAACAATAAAATGAAACAAATCAAAACAATGAAAACTATATTGGATTTCAATTAGACAAACGGAAATCTCCCAAAGTTGCTATATTTCATATTGTTATCCTCTAAACATATGCTCAGACTACTGGCTTTAGACCTGCAAAGTCCATCACTCAATGCAAGCATTAAGTTGCTATCATGCTAACCTGTATTCCTCTGAATCAGCCAGTTGCCTACCAGGGGATTGCTTTTATTTATTGTGGAATCACTTGGTTTTGAGTTTGCTACAAAAGCCCACGAGAAAGTTGTTCCCTAAACTTTGGCAGATCTATGATCAATATTCTTACAAGGACCAGGTCTCAGAGTGTTACTGGTCGTACACGCCCATTTGTATTGTAGGTATGGTCTGGGGAGGTCCCATTTCTGTACCAGTGGAGGAGTCCGGCAGGGATGACTCCTTCACACCAGGACTCACGTGTCCCGTTGAGATGTATGATGCATGTGGTTGTAGGGCCACTAAGAGCTGCCCTGAATAGGGTAATGGAATTCTCTAAAGCCCTCTCTACTGAACCTGGTTGGAAGTATTTTGGGTTTAGGTGATCTGGCCTGTGAAGTCAGAGTGCTGGTTGACCCATTTCACAGTTGTATGAGGAGTGATAGGATGATTTCATGTCTCTTGGGTCCTTTCTCTAACAGGAAAAGTGAAAGGTCCCTTTCACAGTTTGCTTAAATAGAGAGTTTGATTGTTGACTTTTGCATCCAGGAACTGGTCTTACTTGTACCTTGCCCAAGGATGGTGAAGATCACTTCCACAGTGAGGCTGTTGGAGAGGAGGAGCCATTGTTTCAACCTTGTCTGTACCTGTGGTTTGATAATGATTAGCCCCAGACTAGAGGCATGAGAATAGTGGAATAAGTGGGAAATTTTATAGATCCTTTTGTTTTCCTCCTTCAGGACAACTGCTATTATTTTTAAAAATGGTTTTCACTTTGTTTACTGCAGATATATACAGGTTCAAACTAAGAGAATAAAACCATATATCAGAGCTGGGCATGGTATCTGTAATCCCAGCACCCAGGAGGCGGACACAGGAGGATCCTTACAAATTCAAGACCAGCCTGGTGAGACACTGCATAGTGAGACACTGTTTAAAAGCAAAGCAAAACAAATATCAAAATGAACTCTGAAGGTCTTAGGGTAACCGACATTTTTTAATTACTGATTCAGTCATGTAGATCATCAAAGAGTTGCTTCACTCTCCATTTCCTTTGCTAGGAAACTTGCCTTCACATTCCTTGCAAACTAGTTTGGAATCTACAGTGTTTGCTTTTCAGATACATAGAGAAGAGATGACAATTTGGTAAGTTCTCTGTAGAATAATAGGATGCAAATGGCCTGATGACAAAGATATGTGGTTTTAATGTACATGAAAGAAAGTTAAAGAAGATTGTTTTATGTAAAAATAGTTGACTTGTGAATAAACAATACGATTTACAATTTTATTTATAAAAATTCCTACCACCAAAATATATTTGCTTTCCCCAAGGTCAGAGTTATTTGTGGTACCATATTTAAATACGAGCAATTCCCTTTAGCTTATTACTCTTGGTGTTTTGCTGTGGTATTTTGAGGTTGATGCCTAGTGTCACTATTTGTGTACCTTTGTGCTTGTTTGGCAGGCTGTCTGGATGAGGCAAGTTGGAATAAAATTCTTGTTTCTTCTTTTATTAGACGTAAAACAAAAATGGACTCTGTGTCTTTGTTTTAAGCCAGAAGCTCCAATCTTCCCATTTTCCTGAGGTTGTAGTATAATTTGCACAGGATTTAAAACATTTGTTAGCCAACAGGAACATGTAGCCTGTAAGGATCATTAGCTTCACCAGCAACATTGTGACCCTATGCTGTGACTGTCCTGTTGAGCACAGTATTCAGGTGTTCAAGAAGGCATTGTCATGTAACTTCACTGAAACTACCAAAGCATACATGGTAGCCATATAATAAACATGTTTTCATAGCATTTTAGGAGATAGACTGAGTGGACAAGTATTTTGTGGAAGAGGAAAGTCTCTTAGTCAGCACATGGAAAGGTGTTTACCTTAGACAGTCATCAGGGACAGGCATACTGAAATGACTGTGAAATAGAATTTCACACTTATTATGTTAGCAAATGTTAAAAAGCAGTTCAAGTATGAGAAAAATGAACAATTAAGAGAACAACTAGGCATCATCTAGTTAATTTAAAACCCAGTAGTGAACTCCTGGGTACACAGCCTATAGTGTATCTTGGACATGTGTGTAAGGATATAATAATTATAGACTGTTTGTAAGAACAAAAATTAGAAACTACCTGAATGAGTTTTTTTTTTCCTGAGTGACTTTTCAAAGTGAACAGATAAAGATTGGTATAAATTTGGAAGAACTTAAAATGAATAGAGTCTCTACATAATTGTATACATGACTCTCTAAAGCACATGCTATGTGAAAAGAGGAAGCATGAAAAATGCAATATAAATTTTAATGTTGGAATATGACATTTTCTTAGTATAAATTTTCTACACAGTTTGTGAATGAGTATTAACAAAAGTCGGCTCTTGATTAATGAGACTGATTGCCTCTTGGGAAGGAAAACAAAGAACAAGCTTTAGGTAAGATACAAAAGAGATCTGTAACGTATTTTTAAAATCTGAAGCAAATATGATAGTTTTAAATTAATTTTGATTTTTTCAAGCCACAAAATTGGCAGAGACAGTTAGATGAATGTATCTGGAGAGAATGCTGCCATTTGCCCAGTGGGAACAATGGTTCATTCTTTTGGTTGATATTTGTTTCAATGAAGGCTGTGAGCTGTCATTTAACACCACATGGGACAGAGGAGGGGGATGATCTGTGTTTTGTGCAAGGTGCTTTATTAAACTTTGTGTAGAATACTGTCACAGCTTACCTCCTCCTCTCCCTGCTGTGTATGTCACCTTGTCCTTCGCTCCACCTGAGAGTCATAGGAAGACTTTCTTTTGATGAAATACGGCTGCAAAGTAGCTGGTTTTTCTAACGTCCCTACTAAAAGCAAGGATGACATTCACACCATAAACATCAGTGAAGACCTTATTGTATCACATTTATTAAGGTCAGCCCTCAGCACTACCAGAGGTTTAACCAAGATGAGAACCTATGACATTAATAAGAGCTTCTATATGGTGGCCCCAAGCCACGTAACCAGCTATCTGGATTCTCTGCTAGTTTGAACAAGTTTCTGCTGCTTGCAGTTCTGTCCTTGCAAATTGGTCGACCTCAGGCTGTGGCTGGCATTGCAGGTTTGTTGAGAATCTACAATAGACTAGAGTATCTTTGCCAGGAGCCATTTATATGGGTGGGGCCCTCCAGGTCAAAGACCAAAGCCACACGTGGCCTCAGGAAGTTATTGTCTTTAGGCAGACACTGCCCCCTGGTGTAAATCAGGGGAAGTTGCAAATCTGTTCTTCCCAGGAGGTTGAGAGGTTGTGGAGATAACTGTGTAAGAGGCCTCTAGAAGGTGTAGAGGGCCCTCTTTGGGCCCAGAGCTTCTCAGGAATTGGGGTGTCCTTTGGAAAGCAGGTCTCCTGATAACTTGTGAGCACCTAAAACTCTGGGCAGAGAAGGTATTACCTTCCCCAAAAGCACCAAGGAAGTCAGTGCAGTTACAATAGGCAAGGTGGACAGGGCAGAAGTGATGTGCTGTTCTGATGCGAGAAGTCTGAGTGGACTTAGGCAAATGTCCCCTCAGCCTTTATTGTGTACTTGGAAATGGCTGCATCATGAAAGTTGAACTCATTTTGCAGGATTGAAGTTTCTTAAAATTGCTCAGGACCTAGTAGTTAATTGCATAATTACTTGACTTTAAGGTTTTCACAATACTTATTTGGTTCCCCTCTGCAATTAAAGTGTGTCTTAGAGGAAAGAGGTCATTTAGTCTGATGAAACACAGCTGCAGTCTCCTCTGATTTCTATGTCCAAATGCTCAAATCAACTAGTGTCACATGGTACTCCATGGAGAGTATATGGTGATTGTAAGAGAAGGAAAATAAAGGGAGAAAAATCACCAGAATGTCTATCACCCCGAAATAAAATCATATTTTAGTAATTACCCTCTCAGATTTGTTATGTATATATGGATACTTGTCTGTTTTTAATCACTTGATTTTGTCTCGTGGCAATATTTTGAATGGCTTGATGTGCTTATAAATGAACAACCTCAGGGCTGGGGCTTTAGCTCAGTGGCATAAGTACCTGCCTTGTAAGCAGGCGGTCATGAGTTCGATCCCCAGGACTGATAAAAAAAAAATGAACCACCTCATTTTTTTTTTGTACCGGGGATTGAACTCATGACCTCATGCTTGTCAGGCAGGCACCCACTGAACTAAATCCCTGGCCCCGTCACATTTTTTAATAGCTACACCACACTTCTCAAGCCCACATTTCTGATTCCTCTCCTCTTTCTCTCCCAATACCCATGTTTCTGCTCTATGGATAAAATAGAGGTTTTGGTATAAACTTTCTAAATCCTTTCTTTTCACTTCAAAATCAATTTTTATCCTCACCTATCATGTTTCTCCAAGAAGAAATTTCTTCTCTACCAAAGCCAATGAATTCATCTTTATTTTAATCACACCATTCTTTAAGGAATTTGTTTAAAATGTACATACGATAGGCCATGTGTTTTGATGTATATAGGCTGGGGATCACTCATGACCTTGTACTTGCCAGGCAGGTGCTTATGCTGCTGAGCTAAATCCCCAGCCTATACATGTGTTTTGGAGGAAGTATGTTTATGTTTCTTTTATACAGTACTTGACAAATTAGAATTAAAATTCTAATTAGAAAATTAGAATTGAACTCTATCTATGTAAGTAAGGATACAAAGCAATATTTGCCCAGTAATAAATACAGGCAATCACTGCATTGGATATTAAGGAACCTGGTCCACCATAGTTCACTGAGGCCCTTAGCAAGAGGCTGAGGTTGAGCTAAACTTCAGAGTTTGCTTTTGGAGAGGAATGGGGAGGTCATTTCAGGTGGGAAAAGAGTAGAAGAGGGACTAATTTCTTCTCTCCTTACTGCAGTGTCGGCGAGACTAACAGCATTGATGAAGCTGATTAGAAACGCAGAATCTCAGCCTCCACCTCAGGTCTACTTTCAGACTCTGCACACTAAAGTTTGGGAATCACCGTATACATTGTTTATATCATATGACACAACCTGCTATGGACTAGAGAAGCATCTCATCTAACCCTCAGGATAGGGTAGGACAGTTAGACTGAATAACTCAGAAAAAGGTGTACCATTAGCATCCAATTTTATTGGAACAAAGCATAAAGTTCGGAGAGATTTGATTTTCTTCAAATTTCACTAGAGGTGAGGTTCAGACTCGGATACAAACTCACATCTAGTTCACACCACACAGTGAGTTAAGTCATGCTTGGAGAATTGAGTAGGCTGCACACAGAGCTTGGTTTTAGATAAATTAGCAGTTGTACTCTATAAAATTTATCATTTCTCCATTAATACATTTTGAATTTTTTTTTAATAGTACTGGGGATCAAACTCATGACCTTGTACTTGCCAGGCAGGCACTTATGCCGCTGAGCTAAATCCCTGACTTCCATTAATATTTGTTCAGACTTTCCTGAGGAGTTCCAGGGAAACTGATTAGGAGGCATAGTGCAGATGGACTAGAATAGGGGAGATCATGTATTTATTATACTCCAGTTATGCAGTATGTTTAAGTGAATTTTAAATTCTGTACACAAAATAGACACTAGCTGGAAATCAGCTCTCTTAGTTACTTTTTGTGTTGCTGGAACACCTACAAGTTAATGGAAGAAAGGTTTATTTTAACTCACAGTTTGTAGAACTTTCAGTTCATAGGCAGTGCTGGATGGAGGGCAGAAGTTGTTCACGACAGAGCATGCAGGAGGCAGTACACAGCCTGACAGCCTATCTTCTCTGTTTCCCTTTGTGTTCCTTCTAGGCCACACATCTATTGATTGGTGCCACTCATACCCAGGTGGGGCTTCTGATTTCAGTAAATCCTTCAGCCATGCCCAGAACTATGCTAATGCAACTAGGGGATTTATAGGGATATCACACATCCTTAACCCATGCTCACACACCTTAGATCCAGCCTCCTTAAGCACATAAGGCTTTGAGGGGACATCTAGATCCAAGCTATAACATCAGCCAACCATTAAATGCTCCCTTTGTGCTGAGTACTGTGCTCACGATCCTGCCTTCATGTTTCAGATCTCACTACTGCACTCGATAACTAAGTACTAGATGCATAAAAAACTAACAGCAGAGTAAAATCATGTTTGTTGACCCTGAAAAAAGGCTCTGGTTCCAAGTTTAGGTGGCTCTCCTCCTCATCCTGGTTTTTGCTATCATTGTTATACAAAACCTTGAATGATTCACTTAACTGCTCCATATCTCATTAATCCTATTTTGTAGAATAAGCATCATACTTAACCATGACTTCACAGTGTAAGATATTGTGATGATATAATTTATGGGACACGTTATGAAAGCTTATAATGATGTTAATATAAAATTACTTTTAATTCTTCACTTTCTGAAACTTCCAAAATTTCAATCCTCTAGTGCATTTTAGTCACTTTTCTAATTATAATTACATTGAAAGGGAAAGGAAAAATAAAAAAGCTCCAGCCATCTGTGGCACTTTTTCTCCTTCCCTGGAGGTAGAGCCAGAGAGGATAATGATTTATTTGAGATGTTGTTAGTCCCACTCAAAGGAGAATGGATAGTGGTTTCTCATTGTGGTTTTAAGGTCCATCTGCTGTTGGGTGCGATTTCATTAGACAGAAATATGTGGGTGGATATGTGCATGAAAATGGTAGGGTAACAGTAGAAAAAAAGAATGAGAGAATGTTTTTATTTGTTGATGAAAAGGTACAGGATGTGTGAGCTATGTGAGACGCTTAGCCAAGGGTGGCAACCTAGAAAACCACCCCCATATTCTGTGTGTAGGTGGTGCATCCCCATGACTAGTTCAGGGCTAAGCTGACTTTGACTACATGTGTTCTGTGTATGTGGCTCGAGTATGGAGGACCTAACTATCCTGTGTGCAGAACTTAAGCCTCGCCTCTCTGCTCTAATCTCACAGTGCCCATTGCATAGTGTTTATCTCACAGTATAATTGCTTTCTACCTATTTTGTCTCCTTCATGGGCAGCAAAACTGATCATAACCATAGACTTTTAAGGTTTGATTGAGGCTGACATTGTATAGAACAGTTTTCAGTTTCTGATCTTCCTGTGGCCCTGTGTATTCTGTTTCGGATCGTGTGTGCATGCGTGTGTGGTGTGTGTGTGTGTGTGTGTGTGTGCACTCGTGCATTAAGTGGATTAGAGAGACACAGTGCAGGGCAGGAGGAGGACAGAAAAGATGGGAAATGTTTATTGTGCTTGCAGATTGCTAGAAATGAAACTGGTTAATACTGATGAGTACAGATAATTCTGATTAGGTCTCCTGCACTGTGATTCCGTGAATTATGATTAAAGGGATATATCAGCCCCAGTTCTTCATTTTTTAAACTGCTTTCTGTAAATTGTAGTGGTTGTTGAGAATGATTGCCTTCATAGTGAAACATGACTCAGGTAAGAGGACCCTTTAGAACATTTCCTTTTTTAACTTAAAACATTGCATATTGTAGAGCAATTAAGATAAAACTACAGTATGTTTATATACACTTAACGAGACCTAAGGCTAGATTTGGCACGTGGCTTGCACTGTAGACATATGTGCTGTTATTATTAGTGTTCCATCTTTGCCAATTATTCATTCTTTTATCCAATGTGTAGGTCCTGGGTATTTGTTTTGGGAGGCAAAGGTGAATAGACATAAATATGAAGTAGACAGTCTGTATAGCACTTTGTGGGTGAGCACAAACAGGAAAAAGATGTCTGGAGGGCTATAGAGGAAGGTGGATGGCAAGAAGGCCATTTCTGTGCCTGCATCTTGGCAGATGGGAAGAGTTCAAGTATTCGTGGCAGGAGAAGGTGCCTGCCACATCATGTGAGTGATGGGCGCACAAGTAGAAAAGACCGCATTTAGAGAGACTACATGGTTAGTTTTCTTTGCCTGATTGAAGGCTGTCATTCCGAAGAACATGTGTTTTGAATCATCTTAGGAAAAAATTCTCTTGCCTCATGCTTTGTGTTTCTTTATACCCATCAATTAAATCCTGAAAGATTGTAATCAAGGAGGGCAGTCACTAAACAGATGACAATGACTTTGTAATTATAGCTACTGCTCAATGTGTAATCTATCTATTCTTGTAATTATTAAGGCTTTTATTTTTATAAGCTTATTGCCTCCTATTCTAAAACATTCTCAGTTGTGTGCAAATAGGGGCCAGGAAGCATGTAAACTGGGGAACATGTTTTCTTTTGCATGTTACAATAAATCACTGTGCATACTGGCCTATGGCAGCTTTGCGTGTGTCAGAGGCCTATAGTCAATCTTCTTAAAATAGATTGGGACTGCCTTGGATCCTCTCAGCCTCAGAAAGAGGAAAATCACATCCTGGGTTTTACATTAGCTTTCTGTTATGACGCATGCAATGCCATGACTCCTTTTCTCTTTCCTTGACAGTAATTCCATCATCTAGTGATGATAAATTACTCCGCCTCTGGCTTTTTAGCTTATCTACTTAGCTGAATATGCCCGTGCAGGATAGTGTGGAAGGTGCCTCTGCTAGAATTCTCTGCAACCTGGAGAGGAAACATTGAGGACCTTCTCTGCCTTGATGTACCTCAGTTGGCCCATCCATCCAGTGGGCTTATTGTCACACGCCATGGAGGAGTCACATGCTTTGTAATTTTTTGACATTTTAAAAATGACGTTTGAGCGTCAAGCGAATAAGGATAGTTTCTTAAAATAAGATCATTTCACTCTGGAGCAGACTATGCATTTTCTTAATAAATGTTAAACTTGAAGTAATCTTTCACAATGAGAACTAATACAAGTGGAAAACCCTAGCATACAATGGCTGCATGGGGTTTGGCAGTCTGTAGACCCAGGTTTGCTGCAGAGCCTGGAAGCATCAGTGACAGATGGATGACAAATGTATTTAATAAATACCTCTTAAATGGATGGGTAGCATATTTGTTCTTTGGTGGAAGACAGCAATATTTAAACTAAACCACGTTTTAAAAATTATAGCTAATTGTTATGAAATAAACATTTATACCTGGAATTTTGAACTTCTTTAAATCTAGTGAGATATATGCCCTTTCAGAATGTCTACTCAAGTACATATTAGGCTTAATTGCTTTAATGTGTTTTTAGGATATTTAACACATTTAATACAGTTTCTATTTTCTGAGACACTACACTGTGTCACAGTCTTACCTAGGTCACAGCCCTAGGCCAAGGAACTCCTGGCCCTGGAGGTTGCTGATGTGAGCTGAAGATGCAGTGTGGACGATGAAATAACTGTAATGTTAGTCTTCTAAAATCAGAGCCAATAATGTGGCCCTCGCCCCCAAAGTCAAACCATAAAGACAGTCTTTAGTCTCAGATCTATCCCAGATGTGGAACGAAAACTGCAGAAACATACAGGGTTCCACAAATGGACTGCTGGTGGTCCTGCTCACTGGAGAATGGGAAGCTTCTCTGCACGTTTCTGCTTGGTTTCTTGTGAGTCTCATCACAGTAGCATATACAAACTCAAAGCAAGAAACGGGTCTCTCTAGGGTTGCAGGCTTCCCCAGCAGAGCCTGCAGTGTCCAGTTTTGTGTTTGCTCTTGCAGCTCTACGTGGCCACAGAGGCCATCCTCATCGCACTGATTGGAGCCACACCATCGTACCACTGGGACTTGGCCGAGCTCCTGCCCAACCAGAGCTACAGCAATCAGTCAGCAGGCAAAGACAAAGCCTTCGGGGACTGGCTCCTGACAGCCAATGGCAGCGAGATCCACAAGCACGTGCATTTCAGCAGTAGCTTCACCTCCATCGCCTCTGAGGTAACCTGAGGCCCGGCTCACTGCCAAAGTACTGTTTCCCTTGGGCTGGGAATTTAGCTTAGCAGCATAAGTGCCTGCCTTTCAAGCGGGCAGTCATGAGTTCAATCCCCAGTACCAATGAAAAAAAGAAGTACTGTTTCTCCTTGTCTGGATGGAACCAGCCTTATTCTCTTGTTGATTTAAATTTTAACCACATTTGCAGATAACTTTCTTATAAATTTAAGAGCAAAAGATTTTCATGTATTAAAGAAGACTATCCTACGAAAACATTCTTTTTTCCTTTCACTACACTTGGGAGAAGTATTCATATTACCAAATTAGTTAGAATAAGATGTAAACTCCCAAAGAGTCCATGGTGACCTTTTAAAGCCCAAAGAACCCCTTAGTATCCTTAAAAAAAAAATGAATTAAAACTTGTATCTCTCTTTATTACATATGCAAATATTAGCAGAGTAAAGCAAGAGAAATGTAATGACCCCTCTGTAAAGCTGATGGTTCATTTTTTTATCCAATCCTGTGTGAGGATTAAAATACAATGTTTTCCCTTCCTGCTTTGAAAGGTGTTTTGCTCTTGGACCTTGTGATCCAGTTAATTTTATAGGTTAATACCCCGAGCAGCAGCAATCCTGGGACCCTCTGTTCTGACTGCTGTTCTATGCAGCTCCCTCTCCCCAGATCTTTTCACCCACTCCCCTGCAGGGTGCCAGAGTACGTGCCAATGCCCAGCACCCTACTTTCTGCACAGGTCCAGCCCAGGAGAGCACCCTCTTCGGTGTGCATGTGTGTCTACACCGTGGCTCCAGCCAGCCTTACCTGTTCTTACCAGCCTTTCTTGCTCTCATTTGGGTGGGACTTAAAACAGAGGAAACCAGCTGAAGGTGCTATTTGCTTGACCTTTCCAGGAAGGCCCCCATGGGAAGGGATAATTGTTGCATAACTTGGCAAACAACTACAAAGTATTTCTAACCAAAACCCAGCTGTGTCTCCTCTCTTCACCTAGAAACACTTCACAGCTTGGTCAAGTTGTTTTTCTTTCTAGCCTGCACTCAGCACATCAGGCTTACCTAATGCCTTGCCCAAGAATATTCATTGTTTCTCAAACATGCATTGGATTCTCAACCTAAACCTGTTTGTTACCTGGGACATAAAGGTCTTACTCCAGCCTCTTCCAGTGAATCTTAATCTACCCTTCAAGGTTCAGTTCACCTTGTGAAACTCACTCCCCAGAAGAAAAGACTGTTTCTGCTCAAGTCCAATTTGTTTGCACTTACGTTACTGTTGTGTTTGTTTTAGTTCTTTATTTAAAAAAAAAGTCTTTGAAGTCAGAAATCATGTTTTGATCATACTTGTATCTCTATGGTTAAGCAACAAAATAATTATAATCACTGCTGACCTATTAAAATAAGTAACATTATTGAATGAGAGGTGATTAAAAATATGAGTGTTATTTTTTAAGTTTATTATAGTAAAAGACTTTGCCATTAAACTTCCTTCTTTGAACACACTTATCCTCTTTTTCTTGCTACTTCCTGGAGTAGTTCTGAAATGCCTCTTTCATGAGTGTCATATGAGGTGCAATGAAAAGTACAGAAAATTGTGCTGCCACGTGCCATACAATGGAAAGATCTGTATAACGTGATGCATCCTTATCCACCTATTTATGGGATCTGGCACCGTGCAACTTCTGGCTGTTCCTCACAGACAAAATGAACATAAAAGGTTTAACGTTTTGAAACAATTCAGGGCATTAAGGCAGGCATGACAGCACATCTGAAGACACAAAAGAGGGCTTCCAAACCCCAAAAGAGGGTTTCAGAAAGAATAATGGAATAATGGTGCTCAAATTAGGGCTATTCTGTGGGGAGTAAACGGCAATGTAATACTTGCATATTTATTTTTATTAGTATATGTTTGCAGTGCATAATGATTATATTTCTCATGTGGAGTTGGTACATGTACATAATACATCTAAATTTTTCTTGTATTCTTTTCTCCCTCTCCCTCTCGCCTCCCTCCAATTCTTGGTCCCCTTCTCATTTGTGGAAGCTCTATTTTCATTATTTTTCCCTTCTGTTCTTTTTTCCTATCCTTTTTCCCTCTCTTCCCTCCTCCCTCCTTCCATTTCTTGTTCTCCCATCCCTTTGAAAAAGATCCCCTCACTTCCTGTCTTCCTATTCATCTATCTTTATTTGAGTTTTTTACATAAGAGAAACCTTGTGCTCTTTAAATTTGTGTGTCTTATTTCATTTAATATTCTGGTCTCATCCATTTATCTATAAATGCCTCAAGTTTATCTTTATAGCAAAGTATTATTCCACTGTGTATAAATACATTTCCTTTATCCATTCATCTGTTGATGGACCGGTAAGTTGTTTTCAAGATTTAGCTACAGTTTGTTATAGTTGTGCTGCTGTAAATATAGATATGCATGTATCCCTATAATATGGTAATACAATAATTTTACCTCTATTTGATACAGGTGTAATGTATCTTTTACTGCAATTTTTTTTTTTTTTTTTTTTTTTTGGTATCAGAGATGAAACTCACAACCTTACACTTACCAGGCAAGCTTTTGAGCTGCTGAGCTAAATCCCCGGCCCTACTGTCATAATTTTTAAAAATTTAAATATTCACTGTGCTTATAAATCATTCTTTGTATATGCTTATAAATCACACCTTGTGACATTTTGCAGCCCTTACCTCACTTAATCCTCAGAGTAATACTGTGTTGGGCATTATTTTTTCCATTTATTCATTGAAGAAATTGATACCTGAAGTCAAGATTAGCTAAGAAGGACAGCATTGGTATTTGAACCCAAATTAACTGAAATGTCTGTGCTCCGAATTATTGTACCTTTTTGAAATTTTTAATACAAACTGGTATGTTACACATCAGGGTTTTTTTGTTTGTTTTGTTTTTTTGATAGGTAACAGTGGCCAAATAATTTCCTTAATGTCCTTATTTGAAAACAGTTTTAAACTGACAAAAATTTCAAGAGTTGTACAGAGTCCAGTAGTCTCATCTGTTAAAGTATTTTGCTTCAGTGGCATTATCATTGTCACTCTTTTTTAGCCACTTTTAAGTTGTGTGTAACAGTGTCCTTTTATATCTCACTTTATACCTACTTCAAGGAGTGTTTCCTAAAAATGAAGAGAATCTTCTACAATACCATGCTTAGCAACTTATACTGCTGCTAGAGTTTTAAACTATGCTAATTTTGGTTTACCGTTCATGTTTTGTCACACGACCTGATACTATTTTTCATAGGACTGTGTTTCTTCTAACCATATTGACTTTGGTTAGTTGTCTTTCCAAGTTTCCTTTGACCTTCAGTTTTTCTTTTGTCTTGACATTTGTACAGACTGTATGTCCCTTCCCTTTATAAAAACAGCAGCTTTTATTTTAGACCTATCTGATGACTCTTGCTTTGGTTATGCATCTTTGGTCAGAGTCGTACACAGTTCATGCTGTATCCTTTCCATAGGGTCACATTTGGAGACATGCAATCTCCATCTGCCTCTCCTGCCATATGGTATTTGAGATTGAACCCAGGGCCTTTGCATTGATTGATATCCCTAGTCCTCTGCTGTGTGTGTGTGTGTGTGTGTGTGTGTGTGTGTGTGTGTGTGTAGGGTCTTGGTAAGCCACTGGATTGCCCATGCTGGCTTTGCTTTTTGCAGTGGCCTCAGTCTGTTAGAGTGTGGGAATTACAGGCATGCACAACCTCACCTGGCCCATCTGCCCCTTTTTTGACTACTATTGTTTCATTTTAAGGAATAAGAAATCAATGAGGAATCAATTTAAGATTATGTAAATTTGCTGTTTGTTATCAGATCCCCACCCGTAATTTAGTATCCCTTGTGATTCTTGAGAAAACCAATCTACATGATGATGGTGGCACAGTGGTTGTTAAGTCAGCATTGCTGCACATTACCAGCTGGATTCCTGCCTTCCATTATAAGCAACAGCTCTTTCTTCTGTCTTTTGTGTGTGTTGACCTGTACTGTATCTAAGTACGTACTTGTAGATTTATATGCTTTTCAATGACTTACAATTTATTACACCTTTGTTTTGTTATGCAATCATCCTGTGGGAACTTTTCAAGATGGCTTTTTTGTCTTTTAAAATTTTTTAATTAAAATTTTTATTTTAAAAAATTGTCGGCTGAGCATGGTGGCACACACCTGTAATCCCAACGCTGAGAAGGCTTAAGGCAGGAGGATTGCCATAAATTCAAGGCCAGCCTGGGCTACATAGAGCTTGAATTCAGCCTGAATTACACAGTGAGACCCTGTCTCAAAAATAAGTGAATAAATAAATAAATATGGGCTTATGTACAGTTGCAAGAAATGCTACAAAGCCAAGTGTGGTGGCACACACCTGTAATCCCAGCATTTAGGAGGCTGATACAGGGGGATTGCACAACTTTAGACCAGCCCAGGCTACATAGTGAGATCAGTGCCTCAGCCTCAGGGCTGGCATCTGGCTCTCCCTCCAGTGACCCATGCGTGGTGCTGATTCCCAGGGAGGGCTTGTTTTTGGTGACTTCTTGTTCTTTTTCCCCACAATTCGCAAATGGTGCTGACTCATGGGAAAAGACTGGCATCTGGCTCTCCATACAGCAGCCTGTGCATGGAGCTGATTTGCAGGGAAGAGGGCTTGCTTCTTGGTGACTTCTTGTTCTTTTCCCCTGCAGTATGTGAATGTATTTTTGTTTTCATTTAGTGTAGTGTAGTGTTTTTTTTTTTTTCTTCTTACAACTTTCTCTTTGACTTGTGGATTATTGAAGTATATTGTTTAGTTTCTTCATGTTTGGAGATTTTCCTGTTAGCTTTCTGTTACTGAGTTCTAGTTTGAGTCCACTGTAGTATGACAATATGATTTCCATTCTTTTAAATTTATTTAGGTTTATTTTATAGTATAAGATATGGTCTCTCTTGATTAGGTTCCATTGGCACTTGAAGCTAGTATATACTGTATTCTGTTGTTGTTGGATAGA